ACGGAATCCTACCCTAGAGGGACAAAGGCAGGCTGAACCCGAAAACTGACCTCTGGATGGATTCCAGACAGGACGGCCACAAGGCTCTGGATTCAGTACGCCTACTTGGCAAACGATCACTAACAACACTAAACGGCTTGCCTCGCTAGTACTAAAGAGGGACAGCTAAAAAAAGAACTCGAGTCGTTTTACAACGCCTGCGTCGTCAGGAACCATGCTAAGGTTAAGATGGGTATAGAAGCCTTTAAAACGTTGATTAAATCCATGGAGACTGGCATTTCTAAGTGCTGCAACAGAACCCTGAGTGTGTATGTGTTCCTGTTCCATCAGGATAGCGGGGGGTAAGTTGCTCCATGTTACACTTTCCTTGGGATGTGTGAACACATTTGAGTACCTACTCCCCGAGGCGGTGGATGGGGCCTGTATACAGAGGCCGCTCTGGCAGCACAGCAAAGAACAGCGTGGAGGAGGTCCAGGGATGCAAGGCAGGGGCTACTGTCACAGGACATGACCAGCCCTGGACACAGCAGTTGCGGGGAAGGCCAGAGGGGACAGGTTAGCAAGGAGCATTAAGGAGTCAGAAATGACAAAACTTGGTGACTCGATCAACGTGGGGTGAAAGCCTTGTCCAGGATGATTTCTACACTTCAAACTAGGGCCGTGGGGTGAGTGAGAAGGCAAGTCTTCAATTTCTTTTATAGTCTGGTTTGAATGGTTTTGATGATATCTGTAATGCCACTTTATCCTCAAGTATCTTGAGTAATATAAATTGTAACCATTATAATGTAAGAATTGTATTTTATGAGATTGGAATTCTCTGAAAGTGGCCTGATGAGACCATTAACCCTGCTCAAGAAACTAGTGGCTTCCCCCCGTCCTAGTGGGATGGAGTCCAGCTCTGGCGCACCCTGCCCTCCAGGCCCCTTCAGACCAGGGTTCCAACATCTCCTGGTCATGTCTAGCACCCACACCCCAACCTCATTCCAGGCACCGCAACTCTGCTCTTTCCTGAACACCATGTGCACCGTTATCTCCATCTGGAAGCTCACCTCCCCTGATACGGGGTTAAATTCGCACTCATTTTTTTTCCCCCAAGACCCAGGTTGAATGACACCTTCCTTAAAGAAGTCTTTCCCAAGTTCCCGAGACAAATTACGGGCTCCCTCTTCTCCGAATCCTCATATTTTGAATGCCCCATACCATAGTTCTCATCACAGGCTAAAAATCATGTCTATTCCCTCGGCTCACTCATGTGTATCCAGGGCATGAAGGCTCATCTCACCCCTCAGTCTATCCCCAGGGCCTGGCAGACAGGAGGCACACAGACGGGGTACTTGTGGTGTCAAAGGGAGTGCACAGGAGGTTAATCCGAGGCCCCTGGCATGGTCAGCTGTGAGCGGTTCCACTGCACAGTCTCTTGTTCACTAGCTAAGGGTCTTACCCCGTGTTCACAAACTTCTGCAAAATGCCAAATTACCTCATGGCACAGGCCGCTCACTGTGTTGCTCTCAAAGTCAAAACCATAAATGTTAATTCTGTGACTGCCAAGAAAAGGTCTACTAGTTTTCCAGAAGCTTCCCAGGACAGCGAGCAACACTGATGGTGTGATACAGTTACTCAAAGCCTCCTGCATCGAGAACGGCGACACTGCTTTCTGCACGCTGGCATGACACGGCAATTCACTTATGGGAGACACCCCCTGGTAGTATCCACCTCTTCGGGTGGCTTTCTAGCTCACAGCAATCCTTCCTCTTCTTAAAACAGGGTTGGGGGAGACCAGAGGCATGGAAGGCAGACCTCACTTTGAGTAGTCACTGAACTGCAGAACGGCCAGCCAGGCCCTGGAGCAGCAAAGTTCCAACCAGTTGCAGCAACAAACCAAACAACCCAATAACCACTGAGGCCCCCAGAACTGGCCTGGCTCCATCACTCCCAAGTCCATGATGTTCAGTAATTCTTTTGATCCCAAGACATCCCTCCCTCCCCCAGGATCTTCTCAGTAAATGGTTCCTTTTGTGGGCTTAAGCGGGCTCAAGTTGGTTTCACTCAGGAGAGGTAACCCCCCGCATCCTAGCATTCCGTTTCCACCTGGGATGCTTCTCATTTTATTATTCATGTACAGGACGCCTATCTCACAGATGAGACCCCTTGCTCAGGATTCACTATTAGCTCCTCAGGAAGGCCAGGTCAAAACTCTTGTGTGGATCATCTGTAACGCCTAATTATAGCACCCGGCCCAAGTATTTACGGTTCACGGAAGGACCTACACAAACGACTTACAGCAAAATGGCTGATGACAACATACGTGCAGCCTGTGGGTCCTCACCAAGGTTACAGAGGAAGCGTCCAGGCTCTGTATCCTCAGACACGCCAACAAACTGATTGCTAGAGAACCTGTTACCTTCTCCCCTATGTTAACTACACGACCAACGTGGTTGGGGCCTAACTCTTGAATCTGTTGTCATAGCAAAGAAGGGGTGGAATTCATTTTTATATTCTTGCCTGATACGTTTCATAAATAGTGAAATTTATATAATGATGAATTTTTTTCCCCAGGTTTTTGCCATAGGGTGTGTACGCTTGGTGGAAAGAGAAAGAGAGAGGGAAAGTGAGAAATAACTCCCCAGGCAGATAGCCACACTGCAATCCGTTCTCCTCCATTCTCCTCTCAGGACTTCGGGCACGCGTGCATTTGTGCCTGGCATGATTTTCAAGCTGCTGGGTCTGGGACTTGAACCATGGGTCGACATGTAGAAGTCCAGCACCTTAACCACCACACCACCTGCTGGTTCACAATAATGGAATCTTCATTTTACCTAGTATGTGCTACAGTGGGGCTGTTTCTTTTTTTTTTTCCTTTCCTTTCCTTTCCTTCCCTTTCCTTTCCTTTCTCTCTTTCAAAGATTTTTGCCATAGGGTGCATGTGCTGGCTAGAGAGACAGAGAGAGCCAGAAAGTGAGAAACCACCCCCCCGGGGGGATGGCTGCACCACAATCCATTCTCTTCCAGTCTTCTTTCAGGATTTTGGGCATACGTGCACATGGCGTGATTTTCGAACCCCCAGGTCTGGGACTTGAACCACGTAGTCAGCCATGTGGGATCCAGCACCTTCCCTACAACTCCACCTGCTGGCCTCTCTGATCTCCAATTTTTTTACTCCAAAAGTGGTTCGGGTCCTGCATCCTGGTAGCTTGCTTTCTCATTCCTCCCCCTGCCCCCATCTCTTCTGGTCAAATTAAAAATAAAAATAATATATATATATATATTTTAAAAGAGCCTACTGTACAGTCAGTTTGGAGACTCTATGTAATTATTCCCACATTTTCTCTAATTTACAACCAGAGAAAGAATATCTGAGGCAAAAATTAGTAGCTTAGAAAGGTCTAGAGGACCCGAAAGGGCAATACATGTCTTTCCTATTACCATATCCATGATCAGGGAGCAGATCAAAACAGTTTCACAACACTGGGAACTGGCAAATGCTGACAAAAGCCACACAAGAGTGACATGGAATTTATTCCCTTACTTAAGCTATTCTGGGAGGTCATTTACCCACCGTCTCTGGGACCACACTAAATCACTGAATATTGTCATCCTACAGCCGTGAAGCCACTGTTTCCTAGAAGCTGCAATAAAGGTGAAAGAACACGCGGGTCAGTGAGACGACCAGGGCCTAGGGCTGGACCCCATCCTGCTGCTGTGAACCACAGTCCGTGTATGAAGTGAGGGAACCATCTACCTCCCGAAGCCGTGCAAGTCGAAACCTTTAGCTGCAAGCGGCATGCGGATCTGCTTTGTTTTAGTCTGTATGAAATGAAGCGTGTCGCTGTCTCATGACATCACCCTCAGAAAAGGCCAGTTAGACCGTTTGAAGTGAAGCCCTCTGAAGGAGAGAGGAAAAGGACGGACAGAGATTGGCAACAGAAGGAAAGAGTAAGGTAGAAAAAAGCTGTTAGCTAGGGCAAGGAAAGAAAAAGGGAAAAACAGGACTGTAAGGTGGGCCGGATGTGCTCTCCAGCACAGTTTAAGACTGGGAATACCCACGTGCCGCGGGTCCAGGCTAAAGTCAAAAGTCAAGCACACAGCATCCCCGTCTAAGTTCACAAAGTTCACAGAGAAGCCATGTTATATATGTTTATCGTAAATTTAACTATAGCAAGTGGTAAACAAGGAAAAGGAAAAAAGACAAAGCGCTCGCCCTCTTAATGCAGACACTGGGTTGCTCCGGGTGGTTCAGTAATTCTGGCTGCGTTCTACGGGTGAGCATGTGCCCAGAGTGAGTGCGAGATGAGGTGGGAGATCGGAGCCTGTGTGTCTCTTAGAAGGGGAACATCTCTCCGGGCAGGTGTTTAGAGAAACACCTGAGCTTTTACAACCTGGTTCCGATATGCAAGCCAGTCACTTCCTCTGGTGTTCAGCTGCAGCTGGTCTGTGCTGGACCTTACCAGAGATGGCTTCCAGTGTGGTACCCTTCCGGGGACTCACTGGACAAGCTGCACGTAGCCTCAGTTCCCTGCACTCTGGCCACTGACTCCGGCTTCTGTCCTATCTTCTGCCAGTTCCCTTCCGGGTGCGATGCCATTCCCACTCCTCCATACCATCAGACGCCCTGCACCCTGCCCCAAGTCCTCCAGTCACCCCAGCCTGAAACGTCTGTGCTTGGTTAGGCCATTCCTTTGGTGACTTGTCATTTACCACCTCGTGACGAATCCTTGTGTTTCGCAATCTTTATTTAAATACTGTTATTAACTTGACCCAAAGCAGTATGGTCAATTCCTCATCAGGGACACCCCTTGAGAGCAGGTGTACCGCTACACCCAGAAAAGTGAGCATTTAATACGGTCATCAGCACAGGCCTGTGGTTGGGAGGCAGGTTGGGGTTGGGATGCTGACCCTGCAATCTGCTGACCTAGTGTGGGTCACTGTGGGTAAAGGGAGAGGGCACAAAAGTCCAAATTGCTTCACAAGGGACCAACCAGGCAGTTGGAAATGTCACTTACAAATGCTGAAGGCAGGAAAAGGACCCCAAGCTCGTAGGAGCGGATCATCAGCTGGGTGCCATTCTTCTCCAGAGCTCCCCAGGCGGCTTTGGACAGATTCGCACTGCAGAGACAAGGACACAGGAGCTGATGCAGTGAGGCATCTCCTTGCGGGTCAAACCTTCACAGCTGCAAGAGCAGCGGTCAAGAAAATATATAGCTGCAATCACGTTTATTCAGTTCCTAGCAGAGTTGTGGCGTTTTTGAAAAGGAAATTTAAACCCTGCTATGCTATAATCCTCGAGATTTATCTAATTGCAATCTGAGATAGTTTCAGTCATCTGCATTTTCCCGAGGGCAGCTATTAAAATAATTCTCTCTCCTAAGATTATTTTTTTCTTTCTGTCCAAAACCCTTTCTCTTTCCATGACCCTGCTGTAGTTAGGATTTCTGGTTTTGCTGTATATAAAAGCAGCACTTACAAACCTATGTTCATGTTATACAGTAGTATCTTAAGTTTCATAAGATAGTACTTTGAAGATCCATAAGCTTTATCTGCCCCCACCCCCTTTTTTGTTTGTCCAGGCAGTGCTAATTTCTACTTTCAATATGAAAACAAAAGAACCCAACACGGGACCAGCAGTTGGCATAATGGCTATGTCACTGGACTTCCTTGTAGTCGACCCCGGTTCGAGTCCTGTACCCAGTCAGTGGCTTAAACTCATGCCGGGCGCGTGTGCATGTGTGCCCAAGATACCGAGAGGAGAATAGAGGAGAAGGGATTACGGTGTGGCCATCCCCCTGGGGGGTGATTTCTCCCTTTCAGTCTCTTTGTCTCTGTATTTCTGGTGAGCACACACATCCCATAGCGAAAACCTCTCAAAAAAAAAGAAAAGAAAAAAAGAACCCACACCTTTGGGTGCACTAGGTTGGTATCTGTATTGAAAAGAAACGGTACATTTCGAACGATGCTTTATAAGGACAAAGAGTGGTGGATATCATATGAAAAAAAAATCAAATGGGGCAGCAGGAGGAAGGGCTTGGAATTGACCAATGGGAGGTGCAGACACACTTGAGGAGGCTGAGGCGTGGCGATGGCGCTCTGAAGCATCACCTGGAGAGACTCTCCCACAGCAAATGCTGCAGGACACTCCCACTGCCAGTAAGCAGTGTAAGCCCACCGCGAACTTCTTCCCCAATCAGGCTCCCCCATATCCTACTTCATTTAAAAAAATGTAGAGCACGACAGTAGCTCTTCAGAACCCTAACAGCCTGGCTTCATGGATAACTGAAGATGTCAAGATTCACTCACTGGTATAACAAGCACTTTTCTCAGCAATGTGCCGGGTTGCTGTCTGCTGGAATCCGACAACTGAACAAATAATAATGATAATAAAAATAAGTAAACGCTAAAGGGGACTCAGAGGAATAACCGTGGAAAACGGAGCTAAACAAAAATTCTTGAAGTGATTAAGCTCACTTAAAGTGTATTTACAGACCATCCTGCCTTCTTAGACGGGTCACAGTGAAGCCAGGGGACCTGTCTTTGATATAAAGGCCACAATCATGTCACTGTAATGTGCCACAGAATAAAAAATGCAGAGGAAGCTGGAGGTTTATGATAAAGGGTGTTATGACTCTAGGAAAAATCCTTTCTTTAGAAGTCTAAGATGACAGCTTGCTTTTAGGTCTCTCACCTGTTAGTAAAAAAAGACAAGCTTCCAGGCACAGAGGTCTACAGGTAAAACTAACCAGCGAGTGTGAGGGAGGTGGTCTTCTTATAAAAATTTTTGTTTCTAGATTACTGCCTCTTGGGTAACCCTCTTTTATTTTATTTATTTATTTATTTTTGAGAGGTTTTCACTACAAGGCGCGTGTGCTCACCAGAAAGACTGAGAGAGAAAGAGAGACAGAAAGCAAGAAATCACCCACCCCCAGGGGGGATGGTCACGCTGCAATCCCTTCTTCTCCATTCTCCTCTCGGGATCTTGGGCAAGCACGCACACACGCCTGGTGTGAGTTAAAGCCACCGGGTCTGGGACTTGAACTGCAGTCAACTACATGGGAGTCCAGCGACATAGCCATCATACTACTGGTCCCCTGGGTAGCCCTCTTGACCATCAGCATGACACCACCACTGGGCAGAGGTTCCTTCTAGAAAGCTTGTTTTTCTTTCCTCATTAGTCGTGTTTTCTTAACATTCCAGACTTGAGGTCTATTCCAAAGCAAAGCTCAATGGTAGCCATGAGGATACCTTTTCGGATGGTTTCCTCCAACCCCTCCTTTCTATCTGGCTTCTAACACAATTCAGATCACTTGGAGCTTTAAAAACTCTATCCTGAATATTTAGAGCCCAAAAGTCTCTGTAGGTTGTCTAGGCGATGAATCACCATTTCTTGAAATATCATCTTTAATAACTTTTTCCATCCCGAATAACACTTTGAGTCACTGGTCCCTGGGGCAGCCAGGAGGATGGGGTGTATACCCCCAAATCCTGGTCTGCCTGCTGTGTGTGCGGGTGGTACACGTGCGCAAAGCACCGATGTCTCCCGTGGGGCACGGTGATGCCAGAGGGCTGCCTACAAGGCTCTTTTGCTCCTGAAACTCCAAAGTAGCTCTCCTGTCCACTCAGAATCCTTGGTCCTCTGTCTATTTTGGCTCTTGTCAGGAGCTAGTGTCCACGAATGGGATTAGGGACTTTATACAAAAGACCCAAAAGAGCCACCTTGCCCTTTCTCTACAATGGGAGGATACAGCAAGAATTCAGAGCTCTGCAATCCTGGAAGAAGGCCTTCACCAGAATCCAAGCATGCTAACACCCTGATTTTGGACTTCCGGCTCCCAGGACTGTGAAAAATAAATTACTGTGTTTATAAGTCCCCCATTCCGTGGTACTTTACATAGCAGCCTGAATGAAGACTCTGAGCCACCAAAGATAAGCTAATGGTAAGTTACTCAGTTAGGTAGTTTCAAGGCCCCTTGCCTACAAAGAACACAAAGAGTGAATAGCGGTAGATTTCTTTACCACGGCTTGTAAAATGTGCTGTTAATTACAGGTCTGATCTCACAATACAAAAAAATTGTCCCAAAGTTTAGATTTTACAGATCAATTTAATAACATAGAACCACAAATTCCTGAAGATCTCAGGAGAGCATAAGAATGGAGAAGAAAGAAAGATAAATGATGAGAAAAGACTAGAGGCTCCTGCCCCGGTCCCCCTGGGAATCTCTAAGTCACTCTTCTCCCTGGGCTGTAAGTTCCTGTCTCTAGAATGAGTCCATGAGACCACATCGCCCCTTCCATACAAGAGTCTGTGATAAGTAGCGCTCCCACCTGGCTATGCACTCTAATTCCAAAGATAACGTCCCTGACTCTCGCTGGGAATTTACCACTGGTCAGCACTTAGTTGAATGCTCATGGTAACAGGTTGGGGAAATGGCTGTGCAATTTGGGGGGCAGTATATGAAGATGACTTACATGCATTTTCCAAAGTCTAAACACTGGCAACAGTAACAGCTGCCACCAGTCCCAGCCGGAGCACCTGTTACATGGCTGGCTGGGCTCACTGGTAAGCTTTTGTTAGAAGATGCACGGGTCCCCGAGGATGACTGCTGTCATGGGAATGTACACTTAAAGAACATTCCTTTTCATCGTTAATTACTGCACAGTCTGGACAGCAGCTGCACAGAGTGCAGAGACAACTGACGGCCTAAGCTTTTGGCCCCAACACTTCTAGAGGCTCAGGGGAGGGGGATAGACTTTCACGGACAGATGCAATAAGAGAATGCTAACAGTGGGTGCTGGAGAAGAGAGAGACCAGCCTGAGCAACTGTGGTGAGGAGGGGAGATGAGGAACTCCAGTCAACAGGGCTACCACCCTTTCCTAAGGCTCTGCAGCGGAATGCTTGCCACAAACACTGGTACAGATGTGGCAAGTGGCTTTCACCCTGGCACACACTGTAGGTTTTCTTGCATTGCCCTTGGTCTGTCTTTTTTTTTTTTTTTTTTTAAAGTTTTTACTACTCTAGTGCTTGTGCCCTAGCCTGAGAGAGACAGAGGGAAAGTGAGAAATCACCCTCAGGGGGGAATTGCCACACCACAATTCCTTCTCCTCCAGTCTCCTCTTGGGGTTTTTTGCACACATGCACATACAACTGGCATGATGTTCAAGCTGTGGTAGAACCATGTGGTCAGCCAACGGGGAGCCAGTGCCTCAAGCTCCATGCCACCTGCTGGCCTCCAGGCTGTTTCTTATTGTGGAGAAAAAGTTTCACAAGTGATATGGAAAGAGTCACTGTAAGAGATTTAAGTTGTACACAGGTATACACAAGCATGTTCTAATTCTGACTGATTGTCCAATTTCCCTCTTCTGCATCTTTCCTATTTAGATTACTAGCAACACTGTATGAGAGTACTCTTTTCTTGGACCCTTCAGAAGACGAGTGGACAATGTCTATGAAAATTATGCAAATCTAATAGGCAAAATATAACTCATTTAAAATCTGACTTATCTGAAGATGAGTAGTGTTCAGTATTTTTAACCGTATGTACTGGACATCTATATTTCTTCTGTGAATTATTCATTTTTAAATTATATTGCCTTTTTTCTTGATATGCAATGTGCACTGGTTTCATATTATTGCTTGCTACAGGTTAGGTTCAGATGATACTTGTCCCCCAAGGGTTCCTGTGTTATAACTTGGTCCCTAATATAATGGCAGTGGGAAGTGGTGAGACCTTTAAGAGGAAAAACAACCTTCAAAGTGGGCAGCCACGAGTCAATGGGCCAAGAGGAAGATCCCTCTCCACTGTGGGTGGGCACCATCAAATCAACCGGAAGTGGGACAAACAGCACCCTCAGGGGGGAATTGCCACACCACAATTCCTTCTCCTCCAGTCTCCTCTTGGGGTTTTTTGCACACATGCACATACAACTGGCATGATGTTCAAGCTGTGGTAGAACCATGTGGTCAGCCAACGGGGAGCCAGTGCCTCAAGCTCCATGCCACCTGCTGGCCTCCAGGCTGTTTCTTATTGTGGAGAAAAAGTTTCACAAGTGATATGGAAAGAGTCACTGTAAGAGATTTAAGTTGTACACAGGTATACACAAGCATGTTCTAATT